TTTGGTTGGAAAGAAAGTCCTGCGACACTTTGACCAAATTTTCGGACCAAATTTTCCTTCACTAAAGACACCTCCAATCTACAAGGTAATCACCATTAATGACTAGGACTAGTGCCCACCTTTTGCATAGCTTCTCATTTCCACTCTTATAGAACTACGGCAACTACGATAAAAAAAGAGGTGGACCTCATTTTCGAGTAGACGTCGATTTTCGGAATTTTTGCTTTCTAAGGATGCGGTAGGGATCAAAGGAGGTGGTAATTAGAGGCTGCTAACTTTGGTAAATAAGCTGGGTACGGTCGCATTCCTGATCGAGATCCATGATCTTTTGGCGTAGCCTGATCCTCACATGCGGTCTTCGCATTGCCGAGTAGTAGAAAGAAAGTGAGTGTTTCTGAATGAATTCAAGCGTGACCTCGTCCATGTTTTGATGTCGATCAGTGCAGACTACGCTTGTCACTGCTGTGCCTGTACCCAGAGATATTGCTTCGAAAATACACCAATAACAGAGAATTCTCTCTTCCATGCACATGTGCCTTTAGCTGAGCAGTCTACTTTTCTCCTTGAGAGATCCTGCGAGGGATGTGTGCATAGTTTACGCAAGGACTCCAACACTCGCTACCAACCACAAGATCTCACAAAAGTTCTTCCAGTGTGTACAAGGAAAAGAAAACTCAGTCACGGCTATCCGGTGCGCTTTGTCAGACTGGTCCAACTCATGAGGCATACTCCACAAAAAATTTTCCCCGTATCGAGATTGCGGAGAAGCATGGCAGTTGTCGCAGCTGTCACTTAGGTGGAGCCTAGAGAGGTTGCCAACTTACTGGTGGTTACGTTCGGCTGCGCCTCAAGAAGCTTGAGTAAAGGCCGTCATTCTGTGCTGGTGGCCGACCTATACATTGCCTACCTCCGAATTAAATAACTCCAGCTTGGAAGCGCTGATGCAAACGCTACTCTGCCATGGCGAGCAATACCCTTCCTTAAGACATGCAGGTATTAGCTTGTTCGACTACAGCGGAATGGCCCCACACGCACTCACAATATACGGTAGGTGGGAAATAACTTGACCTTTTGAGGGTTATTTAGGGGCTTTGAAAGATTCCACAGAGTCATTATATATAGATCTGCAAAACCCTCAGAGAACACTCCTCACTAATCGGGAGTGAAAACATTCAGAATGCTTCCTGGTTGTTTTCTAGAACAATTTGATCGAAGTGTCGCACAACTCTTTTTCCAATCTAATATTACGCCACTTGGCTATGAGCTCAAGTATTTCGTAGCAGCAGCTCCTGACGGAGTCCTTCAGGGGAGGGCTAAGCTCACAACCTGGACCTGTGAATGACACCATTTCCCTTAGCTCAAACTCCTTCGAAAACCTCTGCCAAAACCTCAGGTTTCCCAGGAACCGATGCAGCAACAGAACCGTCAAGGTGTCAAAAACATTCACGTCTTATTTCCGATTGGTAAGGAAGTAAGGAAACTCAAGAATTTGAAGGGAGCAGTCTTGTTGCTGGTTTCCATAATTTTTTCCAACGGTTATTTTATGCTTTTACTAATTTGTTTTGGAGTTTGTCCCGGCAAACTCTGTACGATCGCCAATCGTCATCACAATTTGTAATCGAAGCTCTTTTAGGTGGTTGCATCTTCGTGTCAAAGGAAGACGCTAGATGCCCCGGTGAGCTGGAACAATTAAGAGATCATTTTTTTCAAGGGGGACAATGATGGAAAAACAATGTTTCAATATAAACAAGAAAGCCTCATACATTATCTTTACATCAGAGCAAGATTGGAAGGTACCAACCCAGTCAACACTGCTATGATAATGATTGTTTACTGAAAGTCTGCCTTACTAAAGTCCTGTTTCAATGAGAATCCCTTAGGCTCAAAAGGACACAACTATTGCCTACAGGTGCGGCTGTGCAAATATTACCAATTATATCCAGCTTATCGCATGAAAGCAGATCTATCATATGTTCACCTCTGCTTTTGGTCATGACTGATTGAGTGTAACTATGGCTAATAACCATGTCAACAAAAGACTTTGCAGGAAGCTGGACCGGTGATGTCACCCCTCCAAACCCCTCTACTTCGGGATAGTTCGAGTCGCTCATTAGTAAACAGACGCTGTCATCATTGGATGAGGAGTAACTTATACATTTAACCAGTAGGATTACCCAGCTGCCGCCGGGTGCTCCTCCTTCTTTGTCACGGCCCGGCTTCGCCAGGCACTCTTTCCTTAGGCGAGGTAGAGTGTGCAAAATACGCCTAACCGTCACAGTGCATTTTCAGCAAATGTAAGAA